AAAAAAAAAAAAAAAAAAAAAAAAAGCAACCATGTGCTGATGATTAGAGACTGGTTTTAATAGCCAGAAAGAGCATTTCAGGGATTAAATAAAGGGCTGTAGTGTAGTCCTTTGTTAGTTCCACATGATCCAGCCTGTCGCTCTTACTTTGGGTGCCTATATAATCATTGCCAAGAAAATTGATACTATGCACAAAACATGCTATTGGAATTCTGGAAACTGGTTTGTAGCCTGCAGACTTAAAATGTCAGTTCATTTAAGTGGTTTTGAAGAATAGCTGCTATGTAGTTCAGCATTTTTTGGTGTTTTTAGTTCAATACAATAAATGTTTATAAATGATGAGTAGAGATATTAACTCATTTTCCCTTCAAATCCGGCTGAAAGATTATATATTGATATCTGTTGTTTCGGGTTGGTATTTTTTATATAGAGGAATCCAGAAGAGATTTATTTTTATAAAGAGAATTGAGAAGATCTGTTTTCCACCATGTTTCCATGACCTGATGCCTGTGAAGCAGATGAGATAAGAGGAAGATAGCAGTATTTGGTTTTTTTTAGCATCACAATGAATATAGAAGTATGTGTGCTCATGAATGGTACTTACCATCCATAGCCCAAATATTCAAGTTTGAGTTGCCTTTTCTTCATGTTGTTCTCAGTTCATTCTCCTCTCTGCTTTTTCTAGCAGCAGTTTTCCAGATGTTAAAGTTAACAAAGGAAAATCACGTCGCCCCCAAACTCCAGAAAGCAGTCAAGTACTTCCCAGAAGTAAGCGGAGGAAGAATTAGTAGTATGGTCATCTGATTTATAAGCCTGGGCAGACATGTGGATCTATCAGTTTCTATACAGATTATCTTTTCCAGCATATTTGAATTTAAGAGCTTAATTTACACACTTGCATTTTTAAAACTGGGTACCTGAATTACTTTGCTTTACTTCTCTCACTAAATGCTTGTTTACAATACCAAAAACTATTCAGCTTTAAGAATGGATGCATAATCTTGGTATCTTACTGTATTAACTATTCTCCCTGTATTTTTACCATAACATCATTTATTGTTTTCTATTACTTTTTTCTTTAGTGCCAGATTCTGATAGCCATTTTCCAGTTGAATTTCAGTTCTCACCCTAAATTGCCTTAATACATTTACTACTTGTTAGGGAGTGAGATGTTACTCAGAGGTCTGGACTTGCAATCATTTCTGAGGTGTTGCTTCAGGGGCAGAGAAAGGGCGAAACTGCCTCAGTCACAACTGGGTCTCTCTTACCACTTCTTCCTCGTATTGCAGAAGGGGAGCGCTGTCATCCTGGTCTTCTAAATATGCTGGCTCAGCCTGGCACATAATGACAAGCACAAGCAAGGATCTGTCCACTGGTGCATCAGCTGGCAACAGCAATCAGATAATGGCTCCATTTCTCTCTGTGACCCATGATGCATGGCAGCCAATAAAGGGCTACGTAAGGTAGTTTGTAGTTGAGAGCAGCATGAATAAAAGAATCAGAATCTGGTCCCTACCCATGGACTCACCCATACATAACTAAATAAATGAATAAATAAATAATAGCAGCCTGCATTTTGAATGTATACTTTTCTTAAGAACAAATTCAGCATGCCATCCAGAGTCAGATAACTTACATTAATTCAGTAACCCTCTTCTTTTTTCTATTTTCAGCACTTGATTTAAGAGTTACACAGCTGTTGGGCTCTATTTGCCATTGATACAATAAAAAACCTTTTGCCTTTTTGAAGTCATGGCAGATTGGCTTTAGCTATTTGGCTGGTTTGGAATAATTTGGTTTCACAGGTGAAATAAATATTTCAAACCGTTTCAGTCTTCAAGGACCGGGCTGCTGGGGAGATATATTTGTACAGCTATTCTTACTCTGTACAACCTTCTTTCAGTTTAATCATTAAGTTTAAATAGGACATTTCAGGTTTATCTGGTTTTAACTGTTTTAGCTTTAAAATCAATATAAATATATATAAGCCTGTAAAGTTAGAAGTTTTCCCTAATTTAAAGCAATACAAGACTTTAAACAAAAGGGGGCTCTTCCTTTAAATAGAGTGCAAGCTCTTTGTGTATTGAAATAGGATCATATTTACTTTATTTAAAACAACAAAAATGCAACACTGGTCATAGCCTTTTTTCATGACAAATAAAATTACAAACCATGGTGAAATTGAGAGGTCTGTGATTGTTTTTTTTACCAGTTTAAACTACAGTGTTAGGGACTAATCTTGTAATTGATTGTCAGAGATACGTTGCCTACCAAGCATATTTCCATTCAACTTTATGTTCCTAGCATAATGAGCTGATCTGTAACTCATGTAAACTGTCATAGCTCCAGTGAAGTCAGTAACATACATGCATAGGAAAAATAAGAGATTGGATGGAAGTTTTTTAATTAAAGTAAAAACTTCCAGAGAAGATAGGTTCTAACTTCAGTTAATAGCTCATTGTGTTATGGTTCATGGCAATGAAGAACAGCAAGATTTAAATCTTGTACAATTATCTGAAGAACAATACAGAGTGTGTGTGTGTGTGTGTGTGTGTGTGTGTGTGTGTGTAAAATGGTCAGTATTTCTTGACTTCAGTACAGCTAGATCAGTATATACCAATTAATGGTCACCCCCCACTGTGTTTCAGAACCAGGCTTATGTTTTTATTATCCTGTTTTTACAGTGTATTGGAGTTACTAGGATTTTTTTCTTTTTAAAGAGTCCAAATTTACTCACTGTCAGGCAGGGACAATTGATATCAAGTGAAATATAATTTATACTAGGCAGTGTATAAAACAGAATCTGAAGTCCAAAGACAGGTATGAAAATATCTTTAATAAAATTTTAAGAGTAACATTTCTGGGCCTTTTGTACATGGCTCAGTTTCTCTGTTATCCATTGTACTCACATGAGGCCCTGAATCTGATGAAATGTTGAAGGGTATTATAGACTCAGTTAAGTTGTGAACATCTTTGACTTGTTACCATTGGCTCAAGAGGCTATAGTTTAACATGAGAAGATTGCCAGCTTGCTTTTAAAGTCATGAATATGCAGTTTTAAACATAACAACATAAACGAAAAAATAGTTTATAAAAGTACTGCATCTTGGCAGGGTTGGATTTCTTAAATTTCTATCTTGCGGTGCATTCCCCTAATGCTTTGGATAATTCTGTTACACTGGACGTTAACTGAAGAGGTTGCAGATGGTTTTGGAAGCAACTTATTCTGAAACAGTGACTTGTGTAAAAATATCATATTTTGTATTAAAAAAAAAAAAAAAAAAAAA